GTCGATGCATTACTTCATTTCTGAATCATAGTTACTTAATGTTCAAAATCAAAAAGTCGCTGCACAACGAGATCGTTTCCCAGTCAAAAAACTGAAGAATTAGAAGGGTAATGTAAACAGTGCAGAGAATGTCTTGAAAAACTGTAAGTGTACTGTAACAAAACCGACTGAGCAGTACAATATATAAGCAACCAGCTGCCGTCATATACACAAGATACTGCACAAATTTTTCGTCGCAATATACCTCAGGCCCACTGTCAAAATAACTGAACAACTCAAAATATTACCTAAGTTGATCGCATACAACTCTATTACTTCATGAGCAGCCAAAAAGGCAAATTTGTGTCCAAACAAGATGCTGCACTGTTGAAGGCACATAAATAGTTTGAGCAATATCAGGGTTTCAAATTTCTGTTTTTGATTGTAGACCGAGAAGGAGCATCGGAAAGGGGTTCCCGGATGGTTCATGACCTACTCACATCAGCTATTAAGAGCTGATATTGTAACACCAGTACGATTGATGTGTGAGTCATTCATTTGCATTTACAATCGATGCAGTGTTATAATACAAGGCAAAATTCAGTTGCTTGTCGGTGCTTGGTTACGATCGTCTAGAAATGATTGGTAGTAGTGGTTATGAGTATGTTCACAGAGGTGACTTGAATAATCTTGCTGATAATCATCGATTGTGTTAGTTTATTGTTATCTTTTATTGTTTTGTTTGACGATAAATGAATTGAAGTGACGAAGCATAATTTAAGTGATGCAAACAGGTCAAAAAGAAGTCGAAGCACATCGCTTAAAAACGAAATGTTCACAGTGGATATTGTTCAAGTGTTCAGCACGAATCTACTCACCATCACCATCAGTAAAGCGAATCATCTGCTCGTACAATACACTGCCAAGCATCAGTTTACTTGCTCGAAACGAACACTCCTCGAGCACAACTAACCCTTCATCGCCAACTCAACCAACTACCCTAAATGAATTAACACCGAATCCATCATCAACTCAACTATCGAAACGTTCGCATCATCCAATTGGTTCGTTCAATCACCTCTCTTTCCTCTGAAGAATCAGTCCATCCAACTGAATTGATCCTATCTCTTCTTGACAGTGTAGATAGTGTAATTGGATGCAAAAGGATCAGATCAGAGTGTGCGTCAATCTCATCTATCCAAAGCACATCTGAATCGAATGGATTGCTACCATCTTCATCTACATGCACTTATCATCAACTCAATTTCACCAACCCAATCACTCGTAATAACACTCCATCAGATGTTCCGGTTTGTTTATACACATGCTTTCAGGGTACTATTAACAGCCTGTTTAATTTCAGACCTTGACCGTATCACTCTCACCGACATATCGACATATCTGGCTGGAACTGCAACGTAAAAGTGATCTGTTAAGGCGACAGGTTATGCAGAAAGAAATGGAACTTCGTCAGTTACATTTCAAACACTCATTCCGAAGCAGTAAAACTTTATGAAATATGTATTAAATTGGTACTGACTTATAAAGAATCATTTGCAGAATATGTGTGATATTGTATTAGTTTATTTCTGGTGTATTATGGCTTTAAAATGTTGTGTTGCCTTCTTATTGTTTGATTAAAATGATTTGTTATGTGTTACTCTGATACAGCGAAACATCTTCACATTCTGATGTTGTTCGATAAATGAATCGAATTTCTAGAATACAGGATAACAATTTGTAATTTCTCTTTTTCCACAGACAACTGAACAAGGTCCGTCCGTCCGTTGAACAGCCGAAAGAAAGCCTTTGTTATTGCATATCCTGGAAAATTTAGTTGTTTACTGAGATTGGATATACTTTTGTGAAACGTGGCGTTATTCAATTGGTTCTGGAATAAATGACTACTTTATTTAACAATCTTTTAAACTGACTACGAGTCGATTCTGAAGCAGTTGATAGAGCTTGTCTGTTTTGGTGGTTGGTTGTTATCATTTGAAAGTGTTGCTGACCGACTACTCATCGAAAAAGTGTTTGCGATCTCGGTGATGATTTGACCGAGGGAACGGGCTTCATTCCGAACGTATTTGTAGTGAACGAGCGATTTTACACGTATTTGATGCTGATTGTGAATCGTGAATGAAACGAGAGATAAATACATGTGAATGAATGAGTCAGGTGTGCCTGATGTAGGTTCGTTTCAGAAGATGGAAAGAACACGGCGTTGCAACTGCTCGTTATGGTTTCGAATTGTGTTATTGATAACGACTGTGTATGCTGGTTCTCTGAATGTTTATGAAGTGAATAAGATCACGTATGACTTCGATATTAGTAACGTACCGATCGGATTTGACAATATCGATCTGTCTTCGATTCATTCCATCCATATCTCGTCTTTATTATCCAAGTTGAAGGTGCTTATTTTCCTTTCTTCATTATCTAATTTTGAGCTTGTTGACTGCTGATTGAAGGAAACAAAGAAGAGCGATGATGAATCAGCTTTAATAGTGACAAATGAAAATGGTCAGAAATTTGAGTGTGAATTGCCAATTATCAAAGAAGTTGGTAATAATGATAAATCAGATGAATCGTCGTCGCTAACTCAAAATATTGTGAGCGATGTTCTGTCAGCTGCATTTTACGTCAGAAATTGTCTTAAAAAGGTTCCTTTCTCTTTATTCTATTCATTATTGGTTTTAATATTATAGTGATTCATTTTCTTCAATACTATTCATCAGCATAACATTGCATTAATTCATGAATTGTTTATAGAATTTTGGCTGGTGGACTTATGAATTATGTTTTGGAAAGTATATTCATCAGTTGCATTACGAAGGTTGGTTTGCTGATTTTCATGTTAGATGGTGATAATAACAGAAAGGAATGTTGAAGGGACTAATGTAGTTGATGGACCAATATCATTGGGCAACTATTCGGATGATGCAGAAATAACAGAAACAAAATCGCATTTGAAAAGTGATCAGCAACTCTATTTCGAGCAGCATTACACGAACGGATCTATGTGTGAATTGATCGGCAAGCCGAGAGTGACCACTGTAAAGGTGTGCAATCATTTGAGTGATAGTGATTGAAATGAATGAAGAGTTGTTGATTGAAGTTTGAATGCGATGAAACGCTGTCGACGAATGAGGCTTATTTGGACGAGGTGGACGAGCAGTCGACGTGTAGATATGTGGTCAGAGTGAAGGTCGGCTCGTTGTGCAAACTGAACGCATTCAAGCCAAGTGCCGCATCGAACTCACTCCAGCACCACACTGCAGTGCTTTGCAGACCATTGCTCGAGGAACATCAAGCCGTCACATTCGTTCACTCCCTTATCAATCGACATCGTCACAAGGTAGATTCTATTCCACATCTCTTTTATGCTCTATACATGTTTATTGCAGATGCTGGTACAAAAACAAATAGACGATTTGATTGAGCGTATAACGAGTCTCAAAAGGCAGTTGAAACTACACAAACGATCTGCATCAGTATCACCTTTCACGAAAAACAAATATTCAAAATTCAATAAGAAGCTTACAAGTCAGCTCGACTCTCTTCATAAAACGCTCAACAAGCTTACTTCTGAAGGTTTTCTTTGATTCGTTTCTCTTTGTGAAATTCATTATTATTGCATGTTGATCTTGTTTGACCATTTGTTTATTGCAGTTGAAGGTGTTCAATTCGATAAGACTATCATTATTGACGATGATGAGGAGGATGAATTCGAAGGTTATTGTTATAATATTTATTTTAAAGATAAAATAATGGATGACATTAATAAAATTGAAGTGAGTGAATGGGATAAAGATCGCGAGTCGTTGTATTGGTACTTTAAAGACATTCATTTCGACAGGTCCTTCTTTCCAGCCACAATTCAGTACGTACGTGCCAAGAACGTCTATTACTTGAAGGTGAGTAGTGCATTGAGGAATCATTGAATTACACAGCTAATGCAATCATAATACAGCTATCCAGTTACTATAAGAAGCTCGGTGAAGGCTTTGATGACTCGTCGTATCCATATGCCAGATTCATCAGCGACGTCGATAGCGGCCGCATATCCGAATTGGATCTGTCAATCATCCTCGGTCCTCTCAAAGAGGTCTTCGACGAACACCTCATTCCTGGAGTGCTTCCTGACCACATCGTTCGTTTCATTTACTTATTATTACAATTATTATTTCTAATGGTTTTATGTTACAGAGTGTAACCAGAGCAGTACCATTATTCGAAAATATGTACACAAGTGAAGAAACGATCAATGGTTTGATTGGTGCTTTTCAAAAGTCAGTTATCTCGTTTCTAGTTCAACAGCTGGATAACAATAATAGTATCGATAGTCGTGATGTAATTTCGAAGTGTTCTCGGCAACTACTCAAAATCAGAGCAGTGGTATGTTTTAATGGTTGATTGAACGGTGATTAAATATTGAATATGATAATGGTTTTATGTGATTAGTGTATGCATACGTAAGCATTGATGGGTATTTTGTTTGCAGATGGTCAACTCGAAAGATGCTTCTAGCAGTGTTTATTCGTATGTGGCGACTGAGAAGATTTATTTGAAATTTGAGGTTATTTCTTATGATTTGATTTACTGAACTGCTTATTGCTTGCTTGATTATTCCTTCTTTATTGATCTACACTGCATTGTTTCTTGATAACGAACTATTCAGAAAGTATATAATGATGCCGTTGAGCTCGTTTGGCGATCGAAGGGAATATTCGATAAAACACTTATGCCGCTTTATAGTGATCGTGATATTGTTGACGACAGTGGTTTGTTTTCATTGGTGATTCTTTTATGGACTTATATTGATATTGGTAAGAGATCGACTTTTAAGATGATTACGCTATATTAGACGGTGAGGATAGTGACGATTCGAAATTAGGTTCGGGTGGTGATAAGTTGGCTGATGGAGGTGGTCACGAGAGGACTGCTGATATGAATGGTTCATTATTTCGTTGTTATTGTTATTATTATTATTTTTATTGTTATTATTATTATTATTATTATTATTATTATTATTACTACTATTTTTACTGTTATTACTATTATTATCACTGTTATTATTATTGCTGAAAAAGTGAAGTTAACAAAATTAAGATCCCAAAATGATATCACAATTGAAAAACACGAAACAAAAACGACAAGAATATTTTGCCGGTTTGAGAATGCGACGAAGAGCGAAACGAGTGAACCTGGGACAAAAACTCGAGGTTGATTATCATTATTGTTGTTGTTTTTATTGCCATTTGTTCAAAGAGAGGAATCTAAATGACGAAATAATTGAAGAGGTATTTCCGACGCGCGCCGGCAGAAGGGAATAAGGAAAAAGCGAAAATATATACGGGTGAAGATAATAACAATTTAAAGAACACAGTGAAAATGCAGTTACAATTGTTCACAAAAACAATCGAAGAACAACTCAGGGAGACCGGTATTATCGAAGGTATTTATTTTTTGTTATTTTAAAATAGTGATAGTGATAATGATGGTATTAATTGAAGAAGTGAAGATCCATTTGATAACAACGAATGACAATATGGACTGGATTGATAATCGATTGAATTCTTTGATCGATGCGTTCATCGATGAGCAGAAGTGGCTGAACGATGAGCGAGAGAAGTACAGTCGGATGGTGGATGCGTATAACTTCGATGTAAATATGGGTTCAGATGGCACTAACAAAAGGAATGTGAAAGAGGAACGAGACACGAACAGCGGTGCGGTCTTACCGATCCTCAGAAGGGTGATCGTCTAGTCGAGTTCTCGTTGTATACATCTCTTGGCACATTCCTTCATCTTTCGATCGGGTTCTGCATTACCGAAGTGATTTTAATGGTACCTCTTTAATGTGATCATGTCAGTTTGTGTTATCCTAATAAATACATTTTCTCATTTTGTCACTGTCATTCTTTTCATTCACATAATTGTACTCATTTGATCTAACATACTGCTCTACCGGTAAGTGCTTTAATTCGTCATTTAATAAACACTTCATTTCATGCTTTCTTTTAGTCAGTTTGCCCTAGCATACTCCTTTACCACGTATATCTCGTTTTACTTTTACTTTAGGTTCATATTTTATGATAAAGAATAAACATGCTGATGTTATAGGCATAGATCACTGGACATAAATTTAGTATTGTAAGACTGGAATTAGTTTAGACGTGAAATAGTTCATTTTAATGGGTAGTGGTAATGCTATTGAAGTGACGATAAAATATGTTCGATTGTTCGNGTTCATATTTTATGATAAAGAATAAACATGCTGATGTTATAGGCATAGATCACTGGACATAAATATAGCATTGTAAGATTGGAATTAGTTTAGACGTAAAATAGTTCATTTTAATGGGTAGTGGTAATGCTATTGAAGTGACGATAAAATATGTTCGATTGTTCGTTAGAAAGCATTGATTTGATTTGAGAGTAAAGGTTGAGGCGTTATTATTGATAAGAGTGCATCGTAATCAGTCATAATGTAATCAGATGTCGTCGACTGCACATGACCCGTCAGCTCCTCCGTATCCAGATGCAGTTGTCATCCACCACCAGCAGCAGCAACGCAACATTGATTCACCACCCACTTACGAGGACTCCACTGATCCTAATTGAAAGTTTCATTTCATTCTTCTTATATTACGAATGAATAAGCAATAATTGAGTTGTTCCTTTTAGCAATGCCACCTACATATGAATCATTATATGGCGAATTTCAACAAGTCGACAATCCTCGAGGATTGGCGCAATTCATTGCGAAAGTTTTTGCGATTCTTATTGGAACTGGTTATTATTCGTATTATTATTGTCGTCAATATTATTTTGATTGTTATTATTATTGTCATTATTATTATTACTTTTATTATTGCTATTATTATTATTATTATTATTACTATTGTCATTTATTGTGATAATCGAACATGAGTGAGTGCTAATCAGAGTGATATGTTACAGTGACAGCAGCAATTCTGTTGGCAGTGCTTAATATCATTCCGCTGGGTATGCTCATCGTGGGCATTATCAACCTGTCCAACTGCCGCATCGAGCCGTACATCCCGATCTGGCTGATCGTAACCGGTGTTTTCTCACTGCTCAAGAGTGCTACGAACTTCTTCTATCGAGCCAGACGACAACGATTGCAGCAGCAGCAGCAACAGCCAAGCGCAATACCATCCAACATCAATCCGAATCCTTTCGATGGC